TTTGGGGTTCAGGGTTTAGGGGTAGAAGCCTGAGAATCGGGGCCTACCTTTCGTCTGTATCGTATCACCTTTCAGTCTTTGCTTTGTTTTCTGGGCGTGTGGGGTGTAGGTTTAAGGTTTAGGGTTTAGGGTTTAGGGTATCGGTTCTTCAAACTGAGATCATAATCCCTACGACTCTAATTCCCCAATCTGTTGCCGAGCCGCAAAAGTCTTGCAACACTGCTGCGAAGCTTAAACGCAAAGCTCCAGTCCAATTCAGATGTAGAGAAGACGTCGAAAGGTTATGCATGCGTCGAACCTCAAGCACTAGCCCTACCGTTTTGTGGCTTCCAGCCTCTAATAAAGGGGTCATAATTAACCTACTATTTTGTAAGGTTTGGAGTCACAGGCAGTTCTTGGTTAATAAGTCTGTTGTTTATGTATGAGTAACGTATACATACATATACACACACATATATATATATATATACACATACACACACACACACACACACGCTGAGGTTGCGGCAGTGTGCCAAAATCGCGGGACGCAGTAGGTAGTCACTCTTCGACAAGGAAGTGCTAATTAGAGGCTTGAGCTTTTAGGGTTGAGGGTGCAACTTGCAAAGCGGTTTAGGGTTTAGGGTTTAGGGTTTAGGGTTTACCCCAGAACCCTAAACCCCTAAACCCTAAAGGGCTTGCAGTGTGGATTCTGGGCTGAAAGGTTGAGTTGCGGGTTCTTGTGCTTCGGTTTCGGGTCTTGTGGCAGCAAAGGCGAGCTGCGTGAGGCGGTCGCGAATGGCAGGCTGCCTCCCCGAGAAGGTGCCCGCTGTGTAGGGTTGCAGGTTTTAGGTTTTAGGGTTTAGGGTTCAGGGTTTAGGGTTTAGGGTTCAGGGTTTAGGGTTTAGGGTTTAGGGTTTGGGGTTGCAGGTTTTAGCCTTTAGGGTTTTGAGGTTTGGATTTTTTTTTGGGTCTGGGGTTTAGGGTTTAGGGGTATGTATTTATATATATATATATATATAGATGATGTACATATGGGCTCTCCGAGTTCTTCATGATAGTGCTTCGAAGGGGTTTCGGGGCCTAGATTTATCTAAACGGACTTGTAAGAAGTAGCTATTTTACAGACTTCCAAGCATCATGTACCTAACTAGGGTCCCCTTTTCGGGTACTTAAAACCCTAAACCCTAAATCTACTTTTGACCTACTTACTAGGTCCCCCGACCCTTCAAGTTTTCTTGCGACTTCATTCGCATCTTGCGTGTTTGAAGTCGTTGGTAAGATATGGGGTTTAGGGTTTTAGGGGTTTAGTTTAGGGATTGAGGGTTTAGGGTTTAGGGGTTTAGTTTAGGGATTTAGGGTTTAGGGTTTAGGGTGCAGAAACGAAGCAGGAAGAACCTAAGCCCTACCTTCTCCGAACCCCATCATTAAGTCTACGCCATTCTGCGCTACAAAGCCTTGTACGCCATTATTATCCTCTATCTACCCCGTGCAAAACCTTTTGATCCCCAAAGAGCCCTTTATAAAACCTCATGCAGCCCTTCCCAACCCTTCAACATAAGGTTCAGGGCTTAAGGCTTACCTTAACCCCAAATAACCTGCCTTTTTAAGGACTGATAAAAAGAAATCATAATAAGGAACCCCAAAACGTAGGTTCTTTAACATGAGGGTAAACCCTAAACCCTAAACCGTGACCCTAACCTTTAAACCCTAAACCCTAAACCCTAAACCCTAAACCCTAAACCCTAAACTGTTCAGGGGTCAAGGCTTAAGGCACTGCCAACCCGCAGAGCCGGAGGAAGGTGGCGGCATCGGGGACTCCCGCACTTTCGTCCCCACCTATAGTCTCCATAGTAGTTCCTTTTTGGGGATACCTTATACATTCCTTAATATATAATTGGTTAAACCAAAAAAAGGAACTACAATGGAGACTATAGGCACCATTAGGTTTCGAGTTGAGGGTTTAGGGTTTTAGGGTGTAGGGTTTAGGGTTTAGGGGTTTAGGGTTTAGGGTTTAGGGTTTATTGCATTTGCCATGACATGCTAGGGATATAGCGTAAATCGCTCGCTTATCTAAGTCTGGCTGCTGAAAACACGCTCTTCAACAAGAATCCAGGTCTTGTCAAGACTCCAAGAAGCCCTACTGAAAGAGCTTCCCTCAACTTGGACAAGCAAGGGTGGTGCAAGACGGGCTTCATCATCATTCCTAAACCCTAAACCCTAAACCCATCTTCGGTTGCAGCCAGTGTGGGCCAGTTTGAGACGGAGCACCCCGAGGACTTCATCGAGGCGGTTGGACCACCTCGTTCTATCCAACCCTGACGGTCCAAGTACCCAGTATTTAAGGACTTTGGGGCCTTTTTGAGTACTTTAAACCATGCGTAAGGACTACTTGGACCCTTAGGGCAAGTACTTACCGGGCAGCTGAGGGTTCAACCCAAGTTTCTCATGAAGGCGCGGATCAGGGCATTGAGTGCAGGCGCCGCGCCGCGCGCCAGAGGTGACTCCAAGAAGGTGATGCTGCGCTGGACCGAGTTTCAATGTCCTTACCTTTTCTGCAAGAAGGGCGACAGGTGCTGAGCATCAAGATCCTTGGGGACCAAATGACCCTTACAAGTAGGGGCCCTTTCCCCTTATATTATGAATCCCTACATGGTGTATGAACCTGAAGCCCTTTTGAGGTTCATTTCGTCTTTAAGGATTGCATGGCGATGCGTGAACCGCAAGCGATGTGCAACTTGGTCCGGGAACTTTGCCCGGCACCGCCATGAGGGTGGTTGTCAAAATTATGGTCCCTTTTTGGGTCCCTAATATAGTACGGCACCTATTATTTAGGGTACCCAAAAAGGGACCATAATTTTGGCAACTACCCATGAGTTGAGTGAAGTCCGAACCAAGGCGGCGAAGGTGCAGCATGGCATTGACGACGAGCTATACACGTCTTAAGCTTTTTGGATAGGGCTGCGGCTAGAGGTGTGTTTATCATCCTAAACTGCCTCAGCCATAGACCCAAAGCGAGCCCTACATTACACCCTAAACTGCCTAAAGCGAAAGAGGTACCCGCCGCTGGGAATGGGATCGCGATGACCCCGCACTCGCCGTTGCCCGTGAAGCCTGCGTGGCAGCCGGAGTCTCCTGTGGTAGGGCTTAGAAGCTTCTTGTTTAGGGTTTGGGGTTTAGGGTTTAGGGTTTATAGACTGCGTTAGGAAACCCCACACCCCGGGGTACTGCTTCCGCCTGCGCGGACCCGAAATTAGGGTGTAGGGTTTAGGGGTTAGGTTTTTCCGAGCCGTGCAATGCCCTTGAAAAAACTTTAATCCCATGACATCTCTACACAAGACCCGGTAAAATGCACGCTGCTGTATACCCCTGACCATGGTTTGGGGACCAAGGCACCAAAACTCACCTCGGAGAAAAACAGCACGTCAAGCCCACGGCGCATGATAATCAAGCCATCCAATATTGGGGGCCGAAAAATTACCAATACTATTCTGGGGGTTTAGGGTTTAGGGTTACCAAGACTATTTTGGAGGTTCCTGATCATAACTATAGTATAGTAGGCCCCAGAACCCTCCTGAAATTGTGAAGGCCCCCTAGACTACCCAGTTAGATTATCAACAAGCAGGTCGTAGGTGGAGCACCGTTCAATTGCCCAAACCAATACACGGTAAACCCTAAACCCTAAGCCCTAAACCCATGCAGCCCAGTCCCTAAATCACCTTCGGACCTATAACCCTAACACCGTGCATTTCGAGAGCCTCCAGAACAGATGATGAGCGGGTTTAGGGTTTAGGGTTCAGGGTTTAGGGTTTAGGGTTCTCTATAAGGGTTACTGCCAGTGTTCCTTTGAAGGGATGAGAGGGGTTTAGGGCTTAGGGTTTAGGGTCAAGGGATCTAAGGGGGTTTCAGAATGGCTTATGGTTTAGGGGTTAAGGGGTTCAAACCCCAAACCTTGAACCAGAATTCCTAAGCCAAGACTAATCCCGTGCTGCGGCATATATACATATATATATATATACATATGGTTCGTAACAGTGCACACCCTTCATTGCGACCGGCCCGGCTGCCAGCCGCAAGCCCATGCCCTAGACATCCCTGAATCAACAACGGTTCAGGGTTAGAGTCTAGAGTTTGCGGCTTGTGGAAGATCGGACAGTTTGTGGCTTATGTTGCGCATGACCGCCCTGTGCCTCGCTTCTGCGCGGAAGAATGGTCAAACGTGAAGCCTATACATGCACTAATTTAGCAGAGTCTTTAGGTCTCTACACTGCTTCGTGCAAGGGATCCTCAACAATCAGGTTCTTGCCTACATTGTAAGTCCAGATCATGTGCATAGCCTGTGGAATCCTGAAACCCGAAAAATCAACAATCAAAAACAACAAGTACAAGCAGACGAGGAGCACAGTCAGGAGCAGGGGACCATGTTTTTTTCCACGGAAATGCAAGCAAAACCAGACAAAATCACAGCAAAGAACAGGAAAACGCGACAAACAAACAATCATCGCTTCAGATCGCCGCATGTTCAGCATTCCTCCATCCCCTCTTATGAACACATCCTGAACCTCCTCGCCGTGCGGTCGAGGGACTAAGCTTTAAGGAAGCTGCCTCTCTAGTCCCCTAAATTAGGGTTTAGGGTTTTTCGGGTTTAGTCTGTTGCCGACTCAACGCATGAAGCCGGAATAGGGGCTTAGGGTTTAGGGTAACTAGGATTCCACTTGAAGTAACAATCAAGAGTGTCTAAAGCGTCCGGCAGGCTGTTATAGGTTTGTTGTTGGATGTTGCAGAGTTTTTCTAGTGGTTGTTTCATGGTGTTATTAGCTATCTTTTAGCAGCAAGAGTCCCCAAAACGAAACACTACTTCCCAGACAGAGCTATGCCCTAAACCTCCAAGCCCCAAGCCCCTTTACCCCTAAACATACAACCCGAACCCTAAATATAAACCCCGAACCCTAAACCCTAAGAAACCCTGAACCCGAAAACCCTAGACCCTAAACTTTTAAAGATCCCTTATGGATCACCTTCAAGGAGTTCCTTTTGCCGCGAACCCTTAAACATAAACCCTCAGCCCTAAACCCTAAAACCCTAGACCTCGAAAAGGCCCTTAGACCCGAAACACTTGTGGGTCTCTTTTGGATCCCCTCAAGGGTTCAGGGGTTCAGGGTTTA